AGTCATAACTGCCGACATATATGTGGAGCTGTTCTTATATTTTGTTTGGCCCCATCTGGAATATTGCGTCCAAGCATGCTCGCTCTGTCTTGTTCAGGACAAAATGGAGCTAGAGGGGATTTCGAGAGAAGATACCAAGGTAGTCGATGGGTTCATCCTCATCATTATACACGTTAACTAGAGATGAGAAGCACCTAAGCTACTGCGCCGCAATACATAAAAAGGGTAAAATGCAAAATATGCAAGCCAGCTGCGCTACCGGCAACGGATGGGCAACGTTCCGGTAAGCTATTTGCCAGCTACTATGCCAAAAATTGCTATGCAAAATTATATTGGGCCAAGAAATGTGATCGTGATTTGAGGGGGATGGGGAGGAACAAAGAAACTCACAACACGGAGGCCCCTGTGGTCGGCTCCTAGCCACCTCCGCTAATGTATCCAGCCAAGCGTGTACATCATCCTTCAAAGCCCAACCAGGGAACCGAGACACTCCAACCGAGGCCAGCTTCAAAGTGAGAGCCTTCAGTTTTCTCGACCAAGTCATCGCTTGGCCACTCCTTCGCTTCTTCTATTCACACCACAGACGCGCAGACAACGCAGGTAGCGAGAATCGGTAGGCTGGCATGCGTAACACGTGGCCGAACCATAGGAGCCTGCTGAGTGAACTAACGGTGCTGAGCGGTTCATTTCCTTTTCCTGTACCGTAAACAAGGCGTCGAACACGCTCGTTGATCACACGGTGTTCCCACCAGATGTGAGCCAAACTGCAAAGGCAAACATGGTCGAACTTAACTACTTTCTGTGTCATCTGATCTAAGAAGTCAGGTTTCACAACCGTACAGTAGGGTCGAAAGTACCGCTGCATTGTACGCTCTACCCTTTAGAGAGAGTGATGTCACGCCAGCGCCATAAGTGGCAATGGTTGGCAAAAGCGTCTCGAGCTGATGCAACTTCACAGGTACTTGAATTTTTAAACGACTTCCATCTGTTCCCCACCAAGGGTCGGCGCAGGAGCCTGTCCATGCCAAGCTTGAAGGAACTCTTTGCACTTTGTGGGTGCAAAGCAAAGCCCAAATCGGCTAACAGCCAGTGCTAATCTGTTTAGTGAAGCTTGGCATGTTTGTGAGCTGTCACAAATGCGGGCAACATCGTCTGCACACTCCAAGCCAAGCAGGGGTTCTCCTAGGAGCAACTCCACACCCTCTAAATCTTATTCTGTGAACGCGGTCTCCATGACTTCGTCAATAGCGAACTTGAAGAGGAAAGGTGAGAGCGGGCATCCTTATCTCACACGGCTGGAGATATTGAAAGGCAGCTACAGCTTGCCGTAAGCCCACACTCTATTCGAGCTACGCGACTATAGTGCACGGCTCATACTTAAGTCTTTCTCGGACACACCTTTCCTTAGTAGGCGGTCCTAAATTGCACATCGATCAACCGAATCGAAGGTGCCTTTGATATCCAGGAACACGAAAATCGTGGACTGCCAGTATATGTGACGGTGTTCCAATAGCTGACGTAAAGGAAAGATGTGGTCGATGCAGCCACGACCCTGACGAAAATCGGCTTGATCTTTAGGCATCTGGCTTTCCCAAGTGCCAGTCAGTCTGTTGAGGAAGACAGAGGAAAGCACGTTGGAGGCGATGGAGATCAAACTAATTCATCTTTAGTTACCGCATTCCGATCGGGAACCACTCTTGAAAATTGAGACTACGGCGGCGAAACTCCAGTAGGTTGGGACAGTTTTCTGCTCCCCCAGTTTCAATAGTAACAAGTATAAATAAACAACAAAAGGAGGTCATCGAAATTTGAAGAGAGCATGAGGAAGATCAGCTGCTCCCAAGACTTCATACAACTTCAGCAGCCCGATCTCACATTCGACTTCTGAGCGAGCGAGCGGATCCCAAGGGACAGCCCAGGGAGCATGGCGAGATTTCCATGAAGCCTTTGTTGATACTTCTTCTTCACTATTTGGTCCTCCAACTTGTAGGTATCCGGTCGGATGTGTTTGAACCTAGGTGGACCACCGAAACCCATGCAGAGAGAACGCTTGCCAGCTGAAAACCTACGACGTCCTGGAACCCTGCCGCCGAACCTTTCGCCGGAACGGGAAATTGCCGAACCGCCCAGCTGGCACGGTGGTGGACAGTCCTGGAGGCAACATCCTAGGTTGGGTCGCATGCAACCTGAGATGAGTTTCACAAGAATAACAGCTGTTAGAGTCTTGAAAGAACAACGGATAAACATCATCCGGTATTCTCCGCTAGCCACCTTCTTCCAGTTGTCTCCAGAGTGAAGAGGAAAACAATGGACGATACATTGCTCAACTTGATGAGTCAATTGATGGATTTTACTTTCATCGATCGTATCCATGGTGGAAGAATCAGATGCTCTGATACCCAGCAATGAAGACTTTGTGCGGTTTATAGGCAACCATCAAAAGATAACACATTCCCAGAGCCTATCCAGAGACCGTTGAAGAGTCCCAGGAGCCCAAAGGACATCCACTATATTCCGGTTTATTAGGTCGTCCGCAAATATGAGCTATGTCATCACCAACTCCCTAGACAAGTCATTTATGTAGGCTGGAAAGCTGATACCTACTAAAAGGCGCGATCAGATATCCCCTAAGATCTCAACTTTGGTGAGAGCCGTGAATAGGGGCTGTGTCGCAAATCTTAGCAAAGTCAATGAACAGCACGTTTACTTCATGTCTACTGTTTGCAGCTTTAGCCCAGGTGTCATGAGCTACCAGTAAGTTCGTAAGATATCAAACTCCTTTGCAAAATACATATAGTGTGACAATAAGCAATGTTAATATTTTCGAGTAATATTTCACCGAATCTCTTACTAATTTTTCAAGCAATTTGACCAACACGCAAAGTTGAATACGTAAAGCCAGGTATGTTTTACTGAGGATTCAGGGGCATACAAATTAGACACTGCGGTTACTTGCGATTGCTAAATACCGATTTTATTAAAGAAAACACACTGGTGTATAGGACTACGTTTTCGATGCCTTATAATGCTCAATGTATTGTTTTGACACACTACCTCATTTATTTGCTTATTTGCTTTTCCTCTTTGTGCGTGCCTAAAAGTGCTCAAATGGGAAGTCTGCTCTTGCATCTTCCCCGACAGTGGAACTGTCCTACTTTGCGTCCGCTGGTTTTTGTTCATCTTTAGGATCAGTATATTTCAGTCGAACGCCATTGTTATCGATTGCTAAAGCAGATAGTGAAAGAAGCTGGACGCGCTTCATTATATTTGTGAAAGGCCATAACTGGACTTAAGTTGTAGTGGAGTGGAAACTAGTCTTACACTACCGCACCAGAAGGAAAGGATTAGTGTCAGATAAAAGTATCAACACGCTGACCTTCAGTAGTGACGGTTGGACTAACTCCACTGATATCGCACACTCCCTGATACGATATTCCCGTGTTGGTTCCGCGAAGCTCAGACTTTCCAAAACACAGGCAAAATCTCAACACGCCGCCGCAAAAAAGCAGAACGCGCCGTTCGAGGTCGAGAATTGTGTATATGAAAAAACGGTGAATTAAAACAACTGTACAAGACGCATAGGAAAAGAAAATGAGAAAAGCACAAAAAATGGAAAAGCTATGAACACTACAGGACTCCCCCCTAGAGCGTGAGTGGGCAAGCGAATGCTCGAAATGTACGTCTCACTGATTGTAAAACGCTAGTTTAGAAGGAAGAATCATCGTACGACCAAAACATGTGCGTTTGTGTGTGTGAGTGGTTGTAGGGGGGACTGCAGGGGGTTGCGAAGAAGTGACACTGGGATCACACATAGGCTGTGTAGGGGGAGTGCTCGGCGATGGATCGTCGTTGGAAACAGATGCGTCTGAAGATTGCTGAGACGGAAGAAGTTCGATGTAAGCAGGTTTCAAACGATCGATGCTTACAGAGTCTTTGCAACCATTTCGGTCCAACACAAAATATTTGTCCTTGCGGTCGATAACCTTGTAAGGACCCTCGTAGGGTGGCGTCAGAGGTTTACGAACAGTATCGATGCGCACAAGAACGTAGTGACAATCGCGGAGGTCAGGATGGACCTGTGGGTTACGAGGCGTGAGTCGTGGAGGTGTTGGGCGTACCGAGCTGAAGTGACTCCTCAGGCGTGTAGCATAGGATGAAGGATCCATTTCTCCAGTGACCCTTGAATCCAACACCATTTCTCCAGGAAGTCTAAGTGGCGTGCCAAAAACTAACTCAGCAGGGCAACAGCCTATGTCTTCCTTGACCGTGTTACGTATGCCAAGTAGGATTATTGGCAAACGCTCCGACCATTGCGTGCTCGACTGGGAAGCGGTAATCGAAGCTTTCAGTTGGCGATGGAAGCATTCGACCAAACCATTGGCAGCGGGATGGTAAGCGGTTGTGCGTATGTGAGAACAATCGAGCAAACGACATAGGTCACGAAACAACGAAGAAGTGAACTTCGGACCTCTGTCTGTCGTGATAGTAGCAGGTGTGCCAAAGAACGAAATCCACGTTTCGATGAAGGTTCGCGCTACTGTTTCAGTGGAAACGTCCCGTAATGGCACTGCATGCGGCCAACGTGTAAATCTATCAACACATGTCAGCAAGTATTGAAAACCGTTGGAAGGGGGCAAAGGGCCAACGATATCCAAATGGACATGCCTGAAGCGAGCATCCGGTGATGAAAAGGTGCCAGGGACAGTGATTGTATGGCGATGGATTTTGCTGGTCTGACATGTAACACAGTGCTTTGCCCACTGTTGGATGTCAGAGCGCATATTGGGCCAAACAAAGCGATCTGTGATCAACTTAACAGTAGCTCGAATGCCTTGGTGCGATAGTCCATGGAAATGATCGAAAACGACTTGGCGGTAATGTTGGGGAACGTAGGGTCTGGGCTTACCCGTAGACATGTCACAATGAACTTTAGAGTCAGAGTTAGGAAGCGGCAGAAGGGTAAGTTTGATCGAGGGGTTTGATTTTATTTGCATAAACTCAGAATCTCCCTCCTGATGCGCAGCGATTTTCTCTAGATCAAAGGTCGGACGTGAAAGTTCCTGAATTCCAATACGGGACATTACGTCGGCTACCACGTTGTCAGTGGCGTCTATATGACGGATGTCCGTAGAGAACTGCGATATGTAATCAAGATGTTGGGTTTCACGAGGGGAAAAACGGTCCGAAGAACCGCGAAAGGCTTGTGATCAGTTAGAATGGTAAATGAACGACCTTCAAGGAGGTGTCGAAAGTGTTTAATGGCGAGATAGATAGCCAAAAGTTCTCTTCCGAAGGTACTATATCTAGTTTGTGCGGGCTGTAATTTACGGGAGAAAAAGGATGGTGGTTCGGGATGACCATTGAGGAGTTGCTGCAGCACGGCTCCAACTGCAGTTTGTGACGCATCGGTTTTAAGGATGAGAGGTGTATTAACATCAGTCCGTAAATGGCTCAACGCTGTAACATTAGACAAAGCATGTTTAATCTTGTCGAAAGTGTCTATTGCCTCGTTCGTGGGTTTGAATTTTCGAGTCTTTCCTCTAAGCAAGTCGGTTAAAGGTTGAAGCAGTTTAGAGCAATCAGGTATAAAGCGGCCGTAATAATTCACCATACCGAGGAAACGGCGCAGGCTTTTGTAGGACTGTGGCATCGGATACTCCGTGATTGCTTATGTTTTCTCCGGGAGTGGACTGATTGCGGTGGGATCGATTCGATGACCGAGAAAATCAACACTAGACTGGCCAAATACACATTTGTCCACGTTGATGGTAACGCCATAGTGATCAAAACGCTCAAAGATTTGGCGAAGATGAGAGAGATGTTCTTCTTGGTTAGAGCTGGCCATGAGAATGTCATCGATATAAACAAAAACGAAATCAAGTCCTCGGAGAACCTGGTCAATGAATCGTTGAAATGTTTGTGCAGCGTTTCGTAGTCCAAAAGGCATACGGACAAATTCAAAAAGACCGAACGGGGTGGTTATAGCTGTCTTGGGAATGTCATCAGGGGCGACAGGAATTTGGTAATATGCCCGGACCAAGTCAATCATAGAGAAAATTGCTTTGCCGTCTAGGCCAATAGAAAAGTCATGAATGTGTGGTACGGGATACCTCTCAGGGACAGTGACATTATTAAGCTGACGGTAAACACCACAAGGTCGCCAATCTCCACGAGACCTTTTGGGGACCATGTGCAAAGGTGAAGACCATGGGCTATTAGAAGGCCGGACGATACCAAGACGGAGCATGTGCTCAAACTCGGCTTTGGCGTTGGCCAGTCTATCGGGTGGTAGTCGGCGAGGTCGAGAAGTGACCGGTGGTCCACGAGTAACAATGTGGTGCGCAATCTCGTGTTTAGGTGCGGGACAATTATTGGACGGCAGATACAACGTGGGAAATTGTTGGAGTAACTCGGTGAACACAGTGTTAGTAGGTAGAGTCATGCGAAGTTCGATCGAGCTGATCGAAGTGGCTCTGCCCGGAGTGGTGAGGGAGGTGATACTATCACGAAGTTCCCTGTTACGTAAGTCGACGATAAGACCAAATTGGGTGAGGAAATCGACACCAATGATAGGGCGTTGTACATCTGCGATCAGGAAAACGAAAGAAAATGTTCGTCGAAGACCAAGATCTAGAGTAAGCAATTTCTGACCGTAGGTCTGGATTCTCGTGTTATTAGCCGCCTGGAGAGTGGGTCCTGTGGGAATGAGGTTGCGTTTTTCCATTCCACGAGGCAGAACGCTGACCTCGGCTCCAGTGTCAACCAAGAATGTAAGGTTGGTTGCGGAATCACAGACAAAAAGCAGGCGACTAGAAGATCGGCCAGCCGAAGTCGTCGCCATTACTGGCTGGCTGGGGCGTTTCCCTGTTGGGCCTTGGGGAAGGCTTTCGGATGCGAGCAACCAGGACGACAATTTTTAGCGGCATCACCAAAACGTTGATGATAATAGCAAATATGCTGTCCAGTGTTCCTAGCGTGTTTGTTTCTGCTTCTCGAAGTGGATCTAAAACTTCGACTGCTGGGGCGACGTCCTCTCCTAACGGCTAGTTCGAGTATGGACAATCTCTGATAAATGGATTCAATGGGATCTGATGACGAGGAAGCCTCAGGGGGGGGGGTGACCACAGCGTGACAAACTGGGCGCTGAAAGAAACACTCATGAACTTTGTCGGCCGTTTCTGCTAGTTTGTCAAGTGACAAATCGTCGGCGGATACAGCGAGAATCGCCGTAGTGTTGGATGGAAGACATTCTGGCCACAATTGACGTAAGACACTGTCGTCGACTTTAGAGGAACCTACGAGAGAGCGCATATAACGGAGAAGCTGTGAAGGTGAACGGTCACCCAGTTCAACTCCCGAGAGAAGTTGGTGAAGTCTGCTCTCATCAGAAGCTGTAGGGCGTTTCAATACAGCAGCTTTAAGCATATCGTAGGGGGAATCGGTAGGAACAGGGTCGAGTAGGTCAACCACATCGGCGGCTATGTGCGTGGGAAGATGAGCAGCGACGTAAGAAAACATAGCACTTTGAGAAGTGATTCTACGGCAACGGAAAAGAGCTTCTAACTGTAAAAACCAGACACGTGCATTGTTAACGTCAAAAGCTGGTAGAGAAAAACCAACGAGATTTTCAGAGGAGTCAATGTGGGGAGTGGCACTGAACGACATTATGCAGGCGAAAAAAAGGTTCCAGTAGGAAAAAAGAAAAACACGGGTCACCAAATATGTAGTGGAGTGGAAACTAGTCTTACACTACCGCACCAGAAGGAAAGGATTAGTGTCAGATAAAAGTATCAACACGCTGACCTTCAGTAGTGACGGTTGGACTAACTCCACTGATATCGCACACTCCCTGATACGATATTCCCGTGTTGGTTCCGCGAAGCTCAGACTTTCCAAAACACAGGCAAAATCTCGAGGTCGAGAATTGTGTATATGAAAAAACGGTGAATTAAAACAACTGTACAAGACGCATAGGAAAAGGAAATGAGAAAAGCGCAAAAAATGAAAAAGCTATGAACACTACAAAGCAAATGAAGGGAGCGATATCCACCATCATAAATCGTTGTGCGGACATCAAACACCATAAATGCGAGTTAACACAGTCGTCGCGTAGTGAACAGTAAAGAGTACAAATTATATCCATTTGGGCTATAAAAATGTGTTTTGCTTTATATAATCAGCAGTCGAGAAATTAGACGTAGTCCGTTAAAAACATGATAGTCAAAAGGAAAACGATTTGTTATTCACACGTCAAGTGTTGTTGTCAGGTCCCCAAACAGGAAAACGTATGTGTCCAACGGTCGCTAAACATTAGCATCATCCTTATACACGTTAGCTAGAGGTGGAGTTATTGTACCGTTATAGGCAAGAAAAGAAGAAAATCCAAGCAACAAAGGCGCGCCAGGTTAGCCGCTAGTAACGGATGAGCGTCGTCCCGCAGAGCTGCCAGCCGGCTATTGTGCCGCAGAAAATACTATATTATGCCTCGGAAATTAAATCGCGGTTGGAGTGGGAAGCTAATTGGGAGAGGAGTGACAATGAGACGCACAACACAAACTCTACTGAGGTCGGTTCCTAGCCATGTCAAAAGTGTATGTGGCAAGGAATGGTTCATCAAGTAAGAAAATTCATCAACATAACCTAAGTCGGCCGCGCTTTTACCCGGTAGAAGCACTAGGCCAACATTTTGGTAACTTTACAGAGCTTTGAACAGAAAGTCTGCGCTTGCGAAGCTGAACATGAATGTGGACGTAGAACAACCCTGTTGCATACCGCTATTTACGGCTAAGGGCAATGAAGGTCTGGCATAGTCCCTCACTCTGCCGGAGGTGTGAAGGTAAAGTGCGCGTGGGATGGCAGTTTACTTCTCTGGCACCCAAATTTTTAGCAAGCAACCTCATAAAGCAAGTCGACCAACCGAGTCAAATGCAGCCTGTATGCATAAGAATGTGACGATGTGAGTCGGTGCTAAATGGGACGATGTTCGAGAAGTTTGCGAAGCAGGAAGATTTGATCTACGTATCCCCGGCCGGAACGGAAACCAGCTTGTTTCCCACGGTAGTGTGATACATGTATCGGAAATGCCTTGCGAAGCAGAATGGTGGACAATAGTTTGGACACAACCAAAATGTGACTAATACCGTGATGATTAACACACGAAGTGCGGGTGACTTTTTGAAAACTGGACAATACCTGAATCGCTCAACCAGAATGCACTTTTGCAGACTAGATATTTGCGAACAACGATATTATCTGGTAACTGATTTTCACTCTTCCAAACATGAGAATTCTTCTGACCTGGTAGCCTTGAATCACTTTTGGAGAAGAATATCGAGGTGGTTGGGGATTATCCTGTTTCACCAAATTGTTCGTTAGCAGTGTTCCAGGAGGTGGTGGGTTTTCGCCTTGCAAGCTATCTCTCTATAAAACTATTTCGAGACATCGCATTTTATTCTTGTCTATATCTTCCGATTCTCCATTTGTTTAACTAATGGTACATACCGATCACTTGCTGCCGTCGTGTGTCACGCTGCATACCACTGTCTTCTTCGGCTTCTCAGCCTTCCATTGTTTGTAGCATTTGTCAGTACACGTTGGGTCCAGAACATCTAACTGTTCTCCCTACTTCCGTACTCGGGACTCCTCTTACGTGTCACCTCTTGTGATTAGTATCTGAGTGGCACCCCACACAAGCCAGTGTAAGTTTCAGGGTGTACTGCGTTCTTGGATGGACGATGGATCCCAGTTGAATTGCGATTGAAAGGGCTGGGCCCAGCGGTCTAAATGCCTCTGCTGGTTGGTGATCGGTGACCCAGCCGCTGCGCAGACAACAGAGTGCAATGGAAAACCTTGCGTGTGTTGCCAGAGAGCAGCGGTCTCCATCTCAAAAACACGCTCAGACCACCAAGTCTCGGGATCTTTGCGCAGGCCTTGTTGGAGCTGCCGGTTGGCATAGCCGTACCGTACATTGTAATGTGAATTTTCCGCGAAATCTCTGCGGCGGTCTAAATGCTCCAGAAAAATAGCAAACAGCAACGTCTTTACGTGGTGTCGGACTGGGCCGTAGTTTGGTTGTCCCAAAGTGGTCATGGCTTTATGTATACAAGTCTAGTTTTACTCAAGGTCTTGCGGTGGGATGCAGCTGCGTGCTTCCGCCAGTGAAGATTTATAGCTCACTTGGATCGCCGCATCAGTTAATCTATTTGCACCAATACTTCTATGATTCGTTTTTGGAACCCTCCTCCAGATCACATGCAGAATTTCGTTCAGACAAGCGCATGATCTGAGTCAATGAAAGTGGAACGAAAAGGTCTGCAGTCTCATATGCTGCCCCGCCATCTGATGCTGATAGCGGTGGGATCAATTGGAAACCGCGCTTATATTAGCGAAAGGAGATGTCAAGTTGCGGAATGCATTTTGTATGTCTAAAGTTGGTGCTCGAGAGAAACAAATGATTATATTCGTACAACTTAAGAAGCCTGTTTCCGTTACCCGAACAAAAAAGATACGAAATATTTTGTGGCCACAGAGCTGCTCTCCTGAAACGTTGCACAAACAAGGCATCCGGTAGCGAAAATGGCGTGCTAACCTGTATGTATGCAACAAGATCGTGGCAAGTAAATAACGCATATGTTCTTGTCGAAGTAGGTTTTATTAGTAACCGGAGTTAGCCATATTGTTGGTGTTTTCTATGTAATTATTTGCAATACGAAATTCATTATAACAGTTCGCTGGCTCCAACTTCTCGGACTGTAAACTTACATAATTCAGGCATTGTTTCCAAGCCAGGATAAGACAGTAGCGGAGCTCCGAGGGTCAGTGAAATGCACAATATTGGTGAGTTACCGTTGAGAAAGTAGGTTGTAAGTGTAATGCCCGTGATTTTAATAACATGCTAGTTAGGCAGCACCTGAAGTTGTAGTAGGTTGTACCAAACTCTGTACCCCTGTGGTTAACCAAAGGTTTAGGGTCAAGTTCATACCTCGTGTGGGGTGTAGTCAGAACCTACCGCAGCTGGTCAGCGTACGATACATCTATGGATGGCGGCTATCACGGTAACAACACACACACCGGAAGCGAATCAACGCAAGCTGCGACATCGCCAATCCGCATATGGTGAGGGTCATCGCAAATCTATTAACCAGACGCCGTATACTACAGGATTTGTGACTTATTGCGCCACATAAGTAACGTATCCTTGGTGTTATATATACTTTGATCGAAATCTAACTTGAATTTGTTCGCCTTTGGTGAGTTACACTATAAGCCAAGGCGCATTTGTATAAAATAGCTATTACCGCCGTTGTCGCTGTTAGTGTGCATGATGGGTGCAGATCTCAGCCAACATCCCGATGGTCCCGCATTAGGTGCATGCTATCTCTACTTTCTGAAATCAAATAAGTACGCGGTGTGTAGCGTTTTCTGGAGAGCAACCTCCAATATTCATGATACTGTACGGTTTTCACTACGAGGAATGGGCATAAAAAGAAAATGGTTTTATTATTTTTCTGGGTGGCAGTTGTATTGTTCGTGGAAAATACCTAGGTACTTAATCTATGACATTTTCCTTTCGTTTAAAGAAATTAAAACGCTGATTCAGCCACAACATGAAGAATTGTCGGAAGCGGATTTGAATAAGCTGGTTGATATCAAAATCGCAGAAACGGATACCTTTTGGATATTTGATCAGCCACCCACTGTGCTGTCCCAGGATTCAGAAGACGCACTACAGCAGATTAAGCGAAATACAGCTTACAAAGCAGTAAGCATTTATGCAGATATACTATGCCCCATTCGTATTTTGGAGTCTAACTCACTTAGATTCATTTGAACTTTTCTCAGAAAAGCGGCAACTTACCACTGTTTAAGTAAACATAGCACAATATAGTGTTAAATCACACTAGAAAAACAGGTGGCTACAGGTCCCGTGTATTCATCGGGCCGAATATGCATAGTAATACGTAAGATTTATTATTGTTTACAGTTTCCAATTGCTTCTTTTGTGAGTTGTGTAAACTTTGTGAAAGCCAACTCTAACCTGGAGCAATGATCAAACCACAATGGAGTAATAAGCGCTAACATTTAGCCTAGTCATCGCTTAGATAGTAATCGCAACTTCAGTCTAGATCAGTTAAAACTCCTTGATATGCATTCGCAGTGGATATTTTTGTTGGATGAACGAGACAACTTTTCCCTGATGTGAGGTCCGTCATCTCCGCTGTCATGTTCAAAATTATTCTGTAGTGACCTGGAGATTCCTAGCTTCAACTGTGAAATAATACAAAACGATAGTTTTCTTAATTATTAAGAAATTAGACAGTACGCTTGTTTGAATGTTGTTCACGTTTGTTTGAGTCACACACACACAACACACACACACACATTTGCTGCATCTGCTCGGACGCTACCTGCTACTGGCCGCCATCTTTTCACGAAGCACCCGTCCACCTCCTCCTTAGCTAGTTCTCTTATAATGCTTTAATTTCAACTGTAGCTTATCTCTCGACTATTCAATAAACATTTTCCGACTGGCAGTTTATCTGCATACCTAATATACAACACGCGACTGACGAGCTGCATTTCGGTTTTATTCTGAACACACTGGTTATTTGAGAGAACAACGAGAACCAGTAGGTGGATAACCCTTATTGATTTCACAAGGTGTTACATCTTTCAGTACTGAGACAGCTAAGCATCATGTTTACTCCAACTTTTGTGATACATGCATGCATGTATGCCTAAATACGCGGCTCTTTGTTTCCACTGGCCAAAGATAAATCGGGAAACCTACTACAATATTCTATTATTTTGCTCAGTCGTGTTTTTTAACGTTTGATCCTGAATAGCTAGTGACCGGAAGATTAGGAAACGATCGGTATATGGAGCGGGGAATGAACACTTTCAACTGCCCAGTGATTGCGAAGTCCGTTCAGACTAGCAGGATTGCGATGCATGAGCGCTCTACGATGGTTACCGTCTGGGAGATGGCGGATACATTCCAAGCAGAACTAACTGATGAAGGTAAGCCAGGACGGTGCCTAGTCGGTCCTCCTAAGTCTCATTGCACAGGACCCTTAGAAATAGGAAATCCCAATCTTGATATAGATAGATAAACGTCGCTCATCAAGGGGTACCAGTTCTTGAACCGTGATCAACGTACTAGCATTTGGACCCGGAAGTGTCTACTAACGAACTCACTTCATTTATTCACAGACTGTCCTGTAGCCTACCTGTGGTCAAAAAATCCACCCAAGATCAGCACTTAATTCTTATGAATGCACAACTAAAAACATCGTCTCGTCGTATTTCCTTGTGTTCACGTTGCACTGGGAGTTGCACTGCACGCGTGCTTCTCCACATTGGGACCCATTAGCCTCTGTTTCCCACATAACATTTTCGGTGCAGATGGACTGATTGGGCTGCAGAGTAAAACATTTTACAAAAGTGGATTAGCGATTAACAAGATAGCTGCGTAGAAACTGAAGCGATTTGAGGAATGTTCATGGCGGGACGTGTATGGTGTCAGTGCATCGATCAATGAACCGTTGAGCAGAATGACTCCGACCCGCACGGTTCCTTTGTGTTTATGTTTAAGTTCAACCTTGTGATTAAGAAAACATCGCAGAAGTGTACTAATAACTCAGACCAACTCCAAATGATAAGAGTATGTAAATACTTAACACCCTCCAACTATGTCTATTAAGAAAGCAGGACTAACATGGAATATTCGGTGGTTAGATATGGCTTTATGCGCTGGGTTCATGCATTTAAGGTTGATGTGCAATGCCACTCTCTGGGCGACAAAGAGCGATTGGAGAACAGATCTTTGGTCCTACTGAGATTTCAGAAGAAAAGTTAAAGTGAATCAATATTCAGGTAGCCAACCAAATTCACTAGTCTATTTGCGTATTGTCAACTCATAGGAGTGCTCATCACTCCACACTGCTCATAGTTAAGGGAAAACTATCTGCAGGTAAGCCTACACACAACAACAGCTATCACTATCACGTGAACACTTTTGAAATGACATCTTGCCTAAATGCGTAGAGTGCATACCGCCGATAGTCCGTCCAAAATTGTAGGCTTTCGCAAGATAGTTTTAAAAGTAAATGATACGGATGGGGAGCGCCAAAGTATAACCCAGCTGATGTGCACTGAGAGCAAATCAACCCTCAAAATGCCAAACCTATCTACCATTCTTTTCTAGCTACTGTGAGGAGACATTTCAAAAGGTGAGGGATGTGTTAAGAAATTGCGTGTCTGCATACTTTCGTGGACGGTGCTGGATGTATAGACATACGGTGGACCTAATAGCAACAGTTAGCTATACTTAAGTGACTGACACATGCTTGACGGTATTCAATGAGCTGCATACCAGGCCTGGTTGATGCCGATGCAATAACGGATGTCGCCCCAGCGATTACTTTGTCCAAGAGTCTACTAGTCGTTGTTGAGAGGAAACCAGGTTCAGAATCCTTGCAACGTTCCCCCTCCCAGTAGAATTGGCTGTGGCCCAGCCACTACCAGATGTCCATATAAACGCTTGTTCCCCCCCCCCCCACCCTTTTACATAATTGAAGTGAATGTGCTCAGAGGATGCATTGGCCTCGAGGTAATCTCGCTTCAGTCAGCACAACCAACCATTAAGCTCCATCGAGGTCACACATGGTCTGAATTACGTGTGTTAGGCGGAGTAGCCACCCATGAGTCCCATCTAGACGCAAGTGCGTTATTGGTATTCACCGTCAGAATGGAAACTAAGACGGTGATCAGTACTCGTTCTTGGAAGCTACCTTTGGCAGAATGACCTTCGACCACGCGTTCCTTTATGTAACGGAGCGAGTAAGTGGCCACTTCTGCTGTATCGGTAGGTAAAAATCGCTGATCTAATTTTAAAATATCCTGTCTTCGAGCTAACTAGTCAACCCTAACAGTAACTTTACCGGGGACTCCCACCGCTTCGTCACTTGAACCATATTACACATAAAGCTCAGTTAGTGTCAGTGCGGCGGTACTGATGCAGTAAATAAGTATATCCTATGTCTGTCTGTGTCACTAGAACCACAGATGCCGGAAGCCGTATCACCGGTGGAACAAGTGAGGAAGACCAAATCAGTGTCCCAGTCTCCGCTGCTGCAACCTGATGACGGTGGTCCGATAGAGCCCAGCAAGGTGCCTGTATTGAAAGATTTCACTGTAACAACTGAACCCGGTTCGGTGGCCGGAACGTCCGAGGGCAGCAGACTAGGCACATCAATCACACCAAGTGAGTGATACTCTAATTTACATCATCATTCAAAAATTGCAGTATATCCGTGTTGTGATCAGGGACCATGCCGCGAATCTAATCCTGAACAGTTGAGCTGGATATGATATGCTGTCGGTTTTTGTGTTACCCTTTCTTTAGCTAAACTAATGCCATTTCCTTTGCACCAGAAGTCTGAACAAGTGGAACTTCAGTCCATTCCCGCGAAAGAAACACTTTTTGCCCCGTGTCCAATGTACTCACAAACCGATACCACATGATCTGAATTTCTTAGCGACTGGACAAGATGCCTACGGACTAGGCACTAAATTTTCTGTGGAGATTGACACGTTTACGATGGCAGGGTAGAACCGTTCATAAGCATGATATTCGTTGATAAGGTCCAATGTTGTTCGCCTCACCGTGCCTGCTTTGATTAGCCCCCAATGTGGCTACGTGCGGTAAATGGTGGATAAACGAAGCAAATGAGAAATAGACAGCCTGAAGTTGCAAATTCCTGGCTGAAGCTTTGCATCCTCACCGCAGTAGATAAGACCCCTGTTCAATAGATCGTATACATGAGGCTCTCAATGCTTTATTGATTGCTGTCGCGATGATGCAGGTACCAAGCATTACTGGAGTTTAGGCATCAACTGACAACCAACAAAAAGCCACTAGGATGAGTTGCGGAGTAAAAAGGATCATAAAATGGTCAGCGGTATATTGCAGCTAAAAAAAGCCGAAGCTTAACATGTCCCACCGAATGGTCGGTGGGGATTTTCAAAAGAAACAGAATCTGATATAAAGCGCTGAACGTACGACACACAATATATGGCAATACTTGTTCGTGACTTTCCCTGTTCTGCTCATAAGTCTATTTTATGACGCAGTATTCATGATCAACCATTGAATAATGCCATTTCGTTTCGCCTTTATGTTTCCATCATGTGTCACTTGTTATTGGTGTCGAACTCGTTTTAGAGGACACCATGGTTTCCAACTCGGAGTCAGATTTGTTCGGGTTCCGCTACAGCGTTAGTTCGCAACCGAGCATTCTGACTGGCGCTCTCGATATCCTCGCGGTAAGTTTTCTCCTGTACAATAAAATACATTTTGTTCCCTTCTGCTTTACTTTCATTGCGTCGGGCATGGGCGGCTGAGCGATTGGGTAACATACCAACAAGGAAATTGCTCTAGCCTTAGTTCCTATCAGTGTGTGGAGTATAGGGTTAACAGATGTAGTTTATGTTGTTTTACTATGCCAGGGTCATTTAATAAAGACCTCTCCTGACCAACTTCCCGTGCGCCGAGAATTAGCGAAACCTTACACATGCATTCGTCCTTTTCCACATGGACATTGCGCAAATTCAAATATTTCTCCCATCTATTTACGCAGTGGAACAGACTATGTTCGATTAAGTCCCACAATTGGACCGATAACCATGGCCCGACCTCAGAAATCCGTGTCGTATAATCAGGAAAATGTTTATCCACCTATGACGATTTCATATTTGAATATTGGAAAGTTAGGTGGTACAAGGTCCTGAGAGCATCGAGCATGAAGTAGTGTTTCACAACCACTGGACCGCGCTTCTGTCTAGGCAACTTTTGCGTTACCAGCAGGAGCTTTCTCCTGGATGAGCAGAACACCTCTGTTTAGCTTTCCAGGCGGCTCTTGATAACCATCCTTACTTGATGTAACAGTGACCGTCGCAACGAGACTGGACCTTAACGTCGTGCGACGGTTTGCGTACCTCACTGACCCCACTGAGCTATACTGGGTGATGTTTCCGGGCATTGGATCAAATGAGAGAACATCGAGCTGGTTGACAAGTTGGCCTTAGACACTGTCCTGTAGAGAGTGAACAAAGCCCGCTGATTCTCTCCAGCAATGTGTGTTGTCTGCTCGATAAAATCGCTGACCTTACTGCAACTATGGTCCGTAAGAAATTCACAAATACAGGTGTTATGACGCTTCAAGAAAGTTGAACCCATCCTGACGTTGAGGACGAGGTTATCCAACTTAGTAACTACCGTGTCATAAGAGTAGCCAGAGCTGGAAAGCTGCATAACCATCCAGGAGGCGTCATCAGTTACATTAACCAACTCCGGTGTAAATAGGTAGCTTTGTTGTTCACATACACAACATTGAAGATTAGCTGCCATTTAATTGTATGTTAACCAACGTTTTTGAGCGAACTTCTTTCTTTAGCCATTGCGAATGTCTCCATAGCTCTTGACCCACCACCGACAGAGTTGAAGGATTTTGCTGATTGTCTTTCGCAATCGTTACTGTCTAAAACTGGGAGCCCTCTCTGTATCGTTGTTGGTGATTTCAACAAGAGTGACACAGCATGCATCAAATCTCTTGGTGCAAAAATATGCTGAACTTCGAAACCGGACTGAACGCACAGTTGAATTTTGTCTTGAAAAATAAGACTCAGTTATTTTCTAGACTAAAGGGAGTTTCTCTCGAAAACTCAGATCACTGCATGTTGAAACTGTACCCAGTCATGTACTGAGAAACCAAGTTTGTCTCTGCCGAAAAAGCCACTCAAAGCCATTAGACCGCGAGACTGCTCAACGCATAACATCTCGAAACTCCAAGCAACGTTGACTTCAACTGACTTCAGTTTTCAAGAAGAAAAATCTAACTTTGGATTATGACAGCTTAAGTGTACATTAAATTCTGCTTCGAATTGTACTACCATGTTGAGACCATGTACCTAAGGATGGATAAATTTTCTTTGTCGCTACTGAAGCAACTTAGGAGAAGGAAAGAACAAGCCTCTAAATAAAAAATGAATGCATACGTTAGAAGACTCTCTTTAGCAATTAAATCCGAGATAAAAAAGGTTGGACTGCGTTGGGTTCCGACGATTGTGGTGCCCTTTGAAGACTAGAAGCACCAAGGTGCCCAAAGTTCCCCTAAGCGCATTAGTAGCTTGGATGTGAACAAGCTCAACGTTGAGTTCTGTTCTTGTCACTTCACCAACACAGCTCCGGTAGTCACTTTTGACAGGTTTACTGTTCGCAGAGAACTGAAAAAATTGAGGGAAATAAGGCTAATGATTCCGATGTATTATCAACGCTTGTCCAAAAACACGGTGCAGATTGGCTTGCGGAGCCTATAACCGCAATTTCCAACCGATGTCTTACGCAGGGCACCATCCCTAAAATTTGGAGACGTGTTAGGCTAATACGTGCCCAAGAATGACTCCCAAAAGTATCGTCCAACAGCATGTACATCAGTGAGCTTGAAGGTCTTCGAGAATCTGTTTGCTCCTCAAATTTTCACACGCATCAATGCACGCGGTATATGGTTGGCAGCATCCGATTCCAGGTTCGCCTGTCACTATAGCCTTCATAAGACAGCCACAGGACGCCTGCGCCTACAGAGGTACCATGGTGCCTGGCACTACACCACGCCCAGCTCCATCCACACACCCCACATCCAGAGTAAACCCTGAGAAATAAGATATGTGACGGGCAGCGACGTTTCATCAATGGAGCTGGCCCACACTGCTTCAACAAGCACAGCAGAAGCATGCATGCCTAACGGGGCAATCGTGCGTACCAGACGTACATAAGGCGGTGGCTGGGCTGTAGCCAGCTCTACACTGGACGGAAGCAATCGTTGAACCTAACATGACCAGGAGGAACGTGCACCCCGTCCCCCAGCAACGAGTCACAGTCTGCTGGAGCCAGTAATCGAGGTGGAGAGTGTTAGATAAGTGGGCACTTTGTCAACATTCAAATCAAGAGCAGCCACACCGGAAATATCAAACTACCAAAGTAGAATTCGCGGGAAAGCAAATACGCAAAGTTGATACAGAATATGCAGCAGAATACCAGAATTGAACAAACCTAATAAAGAGGAATGACCTTTATCCGGAGTAGAGTGTAATTTGGAGTAGCCCAACTGCGGTGAGGACGCAGCATGAATGTAACATCACCCTTGGCATGAGGCACATGCGGTATATAGTTGGCGACATTCGGTTTCGGATTTACCTGTCACTGTGGTCAACCACAAGAGGCCTGCGCTTACAGAGGGACCATGGATGGCTTGCGCTGCACCACCCACAGCTCCAACCACCTACGCCATACCCAGTGTAAACCTGAAGCAATAAGACCGGGAGGCATGTGGATGGGAGCCACGTTTCATCAACGGCGCCGGCCCACACTCCTTCACAGGCAAACACAAGCACGCTGTATTTGGGGAATCAAGCGCACACAAAACGGTGGCTGGACCGTAGTCCGCTCCACACTGAGTGCATGGAACCACTCTTCGAGCCTAGCACGGCCACAAGGACCGTGCACACGGTCCCCTCCAGCAACGACCAACTGTCCCCTGGAGCCAGTATGGACGAGGTAGTGGGTACTAGACAGGTAGGCACCTTGTCAACATGCACATCAAACGCAGCCACACCGGGGATATCAAGCAACAGCCAATCACCTGGAACGACAAGATGAAATAAAACAAATCCAATAATGCATACAGATACGGTGGCATAACTCCTCGCTAAACTAGCATATGAAGTAAGTTGGTTAGCAGCGAATCCGCGATAAGTACAAAATGCTCACAAGTTACTTAAAACTGATACAAATACGACATGGTTTTCGAAGATAAGCGCAATTAGCATAAGCAACGTGGCCAGCTAATGAAAGATTATTCAGGCAGGCAGAACAAACCAAATAAAGTGGAATGAAATTGATCCAGATTAAAAAGACCTAAAGTGTAAGTAGGTTTAGTCAAACTGCGGCGAAGACGCATCATGAATGCAACAGCAGGCGGTATCTACCGGTACGCTAACAAACATGGCTGCTCCACACTGGATGCCGTGCCATCTATTATGCATTGTGTAGCATCTGCACTGGATGAAAATGCCACTATACAGAAGCTTGCGATAACGTTAGCCGATCTATCATGCTCAGCCAACTGTCTGTGAATTTGCTCCCAAGAAGTGTTTGCTGCCTCGTTAAAGACAACTTCACAAACCGAACTCAATTCACCCAGGTTTATGTAGCTAAGTCGAGTTTCTCTCTACTAGTGGTGTTTTACAGGGAGCCATCCTCTCACCCGCTTTATTTTCTTTATATATCGAAAAGCCTCCATACATTCTATCTTTATTGAATGAAAGTATGCTGACGATATCGTTTTGGGATGCGTTACTCCAACAGTCGAGACATCTTTTCAAAATGGTCTAGATCAGCTTGTGCTTTGATCATCGTCCTGATCCCTGATTTTGAATCATTCGAAATGGCGTGACGTAACATTCTCGTTTCTTCGAGCTGACAAGTTACGAGTTGTTCCGGACGCCACTTCGCCGTTAGCAGTAGGTGACCATTTGGTACCCAGATCGTCAAGTATTAAATATCCAGGGGACATTTTTTTATCCCGTAAGGTAGATTAGTCTGTTCATGCTGCCAAAACGTTTTGTAAGGTAGGATGGTTGTCGTTTTACGCTCTTCGACTTAAAGTGCTTTCAGTAACATCTGATTTGATTCTTAGAGTTGTGACTGCATGTATACTGCCGTGTTGGCTTTACTCTTTCCCTGTCATCCTCCTTGGGTCACTCAAAAGGACTACACATTGATTATTGTCTGGTGCATAAAACTTATTTCCAGATGTAGCCGATTGTCTAGAGAGTCCCTTGTGAATTTCGTTGTTAACAAGCACGTAGATGCATGTACCAGTTTTTTCTCCAAAATTCTAAAAGACCCACTTTTCCCACTACATTTCGACCTGTCAAAATCACTATCTATTTCCTATACCCGCACCAAATTCAACGTTCTGTTTGCTCGTGCTGCATTTCATCGCAATTATGTGATACCGAACTTTTCCCGCTTGCTTGTTGACCCAACCAAAAATAGCAGTATGATGCGAAATTATTTACTCGAGTGATATGCGTGGACATATTTAAACGGCTTATTTTTTAAAATTCTGCAACAGTACTTTCATATACTTCATCATTCGCAGTGAGAGTGAAACATGGTGAAAATGCACCTAACCGGGTTGCATTAAGCCTGCTTTGACTTGACTCGACCTTCGATAGAGATAACGTAGTGGGTACGAGTGGTTAAGGCTAGACAATACAAAACTTCTAGTGATCGGTAACGATAGGTTCAAGGAGCTTGAGAATACAGAACATTAATTGCG